ATGTCTCTGAGCGAGTCATTCCAAGTTGCGGCTGTGATTGAGAAACTGCCACCGGGTTGGAAAGACTTCAAGAACTACCTCAAGCATAAGAGGAAGGAGATGAGTCTTGAAGACCTTGTTGTTCGTCTTCGTCTTGAGGAGGACAACCGGAATTCATCTGGAAAAGCTCAGATGATGGAGGCTCGTACAAATTTGCTGGAACAAGGCAACTCGAGCAAAAGGAAGTCCCTGGACAAAGGGAAGCAGCCAGGTAAGGTTTGAAAATTTACAGGTACTTGCTACAACTGTGGAAAGCCGAACCAAATGGCGAAAGACTGCAAGAGGCCAAAGAAGGTTGTGCCAAAGAAAGGTAAACTGAGTGCCCTTGTGGCTGAACACGGCCCTGTGCCAGGTGAATTGACCGACTTTGATATGTCGGTTGTAGTGTTTGAAGCCAATTTGGTGGATAACCCAAGGGAGTGGTTCATCGATACTGGTGCCACTCGTCATGTGTGTTCCGATAAGGAGGTATTTTCTGAATACACTCCTGCTAAGGATCGGAAACTTCACATGGCAAACTCCGCCACGGCTGATGTGGCTGGAGTGGGCACTGTGGTGCTAAAGCTGACTTCTGGAAAGGAGTTGAAGCTTAAGGATGTTCTGGATGTCCCAGGCATCCGCAAGAATTTGGTCTCTGGATCTCTTCTTGTTGAACATGGATTTAGGCTTGTGTTTGACGCTAAGAAATTTATTCTTAGTAAGTTTGGAACATTCCTTGGTCGTGGATATATCGACAAGGGTTTGTTCAAAATGAATGTAATGGCTGTGAGCCGTGTAACCGTTGCTAATGAAAATGAAAATCCTATTTCTGTTTATACAGTTGAGTGCTGTGATTTATAGCATGTTAGATTGGGACATTTAAATCTAAATGCAATTAAACGGTTGATAAATTTAGAATTAGTTCCTAATTCTAAAATTGAATCACATAAGAAATGTGAAATATGTGTTGAAGCAAAAATGGCTAAGTTGCCTTTTCACTCGGTGGAAAGGAGTATTGAACCATTAGGCTTAATCCATACTGATGTATGTGATATGAAAAGTGTGCAAACAAGAACCGGTAAAAAGTATTTTGTAACTTTTATCGATGATTGCACAAGGTTTTGCTACTTATATTTGTTAAGAAACAAAGACGAGGTTGTGGAAGCATTTAAAATCTATAAGACCGAAGTTGAAAATCAACTCGGCAAGAGGATTAAAATAATCCGAAGTGATAGGGGTGGGGAGTATGTAGCTCCTTTTGAACAAATATGTTCTGAATATGGCATAATTCATCAAATGACGGCCCCTTATTCTCCACAGTCGAACGGTGTTGCTGAACGCAAGAACCGTACTTTAAAAGAAATGATGAATGCCATGTTGATAAATTCAGGATTAACCCAGAATATGTGGGGGGAAGCTGTTTTGACAGCAAATCATATCCTGAATAAAATACCACCTAAAGGGAAAGATAAGACTCCTTACGAATTGTGGAAAAATCGTAAGCCGTCTTATAAATACCTGAAAGTGTGGGGGTGTTTGGCTAAGGTTTCAGTACCTGAACCAAAACAAATGCGAATCGGGCCAAAGACGGTCGATTGTGTATTTATTGGATATGCGTACAATAGTATGGCATATAGATTTCTGGTTCATAAATCAGAAAATCCAGAGGTATCTGTGGGTACCACGATTGAGTCAAGGAATGCTATATTCTTTGAGAATGTTTTTCCTATGAAGGAAAAGGCAGAATCTAGTTCTAATATACGAACGTATGAAACTGCTAGTGGTTCTGTACCAGAGGGTACTGATGAAGAACCGAGACGTAGTAAAAGGGTAAAAACGGTGAAAACGTTTGGACCTGATTTTATTACGTACATGTTGGACAATGAACCGAGTTCCATTAAGGAAGCTCTGTCCAGCCCAGATGGACCACTCTGGGAAGAAACTGTAAATAGCGAAATCGAGTCCATTATGCAAAACCATACTTGGGAGTTGGTTGATCTCCCTGATGGTTGTAAACCTTTAGGATGCAAGTGGGTCCTAAAGAAGAAATATAAAGCTGATGGATCGATTGATAAGTTTAAAGCACGATTGGTGGTCAAAGGCTTTAAACAAAAAGAAGGGTATGATTTCTTTGATACCTATTCACCAGTTACGCGTTTAGCGTCGATAAGAGTGCTTCTCTCGATTGCTGCTTTGCACAATATTGAGATTCACCAAATGGATGTCAAGACGGCATTTTTGAATGGTGAATTGGAAGAAGAAATATACATGGAACAACCTGAAGGGTTTGTTGCACCTGGACAAGAGAGAAAGGTGTGTAGATTGATCAAATCCTTGTACGGACTGAAACAAGCTCCGAAACAATGGCATTTGAAATTTGATGACGTCATGTTGTCAAATAGTTTCAAAATCAACGAATGTGACAAATGTGTTTATGTCAAGAGTACATCAAATACATTTGTGATTGTATGTCTATATGTAGACGATATGTTGATCATGGGGAGTAGTCATGAAGTGATCATGGATACGAAAGAAATGTTGAAAAGAAATTTCGACATGAAAGATATGGGTTTGGCTGATGTTATTCTTGGAATAAGAATTATCAGGACCCATGATGGAATTGTCTTGTCACAATCTCATTATGTAGAGAAAGTGCTCAAGAAATTTGATGCCTATGACGGTGCACAGTCTAGGCGTATGTGTAAGACACCCCTTGATCATAGTATAAATCTGGTAGCCAATAAAGGTCAACCAGTGGCTCAGTTGGACTATTCACGGATAATAGGGAGTCTGATGTACTTGACGAATTGTACACGACCAGACTTAGCCTATCCGGTGAGTAAGTTGAGCAGATTTACTAGCAATCCCAGTCATGAGCACTGGAATGCTTTGAGAAGGGTACTTAAGTACTTGAGGTACACCCTTGAATACGGGCTAAAATACTCGAGATATCCAGCCGTACTTGAAGGGTACTGTGATGCAAGCTGGATATCAGAATCGAGGGATTCTCACTCCACTAGCGGATATGTTTTCTATATTGGAGGAGGAGCTGTTTCGTGGAAATCCACAAAACAAACGTGTATAGCTCGTTCAACGATGGAATCGGAGTTCATCGCTTTAGATAAAGCTGGTGAAGAAGCCGAGTGGCTTAGAAATTTTTTATCCGATATTCCATGTTGGGATAAGACTTTGCCACCTGTGATGATTCACTGTGATAGCCAAGCTGCTATAGGTAGGGCGCAAAGCAATTTGTATAACGGTAAGTCTAGACATATTCGTCGTAGACATAATACCGTACGCCAATTGATCTCAAATGGTGTTATTTCCATTGACTATGTGAAGTCTAAGGAAAATTTAGCTGACCCTTTGACGAAAGGATTGAATAGAGATCAATTGGTTGTTTTGCTAGAGGGAATGGACTTAAAAATCCATAATGTAAAGAATGATCATAGTGGTAACCCTACCATGCTGAGTGGAGATCCCACGAACTTGGTTCAAAGGGAAAACTAAGCTATGAAAATTCAGTTGAGCACTTGGAACATATGAATGTCCAGAGCTATTACCTAGAGCACTCCAAGTGCAAGATGACCTGTTGATTGTGGTGAGGGTAAGTCATGTGGACTTTTAATGAATCTCTAACCTTGTAAAGGTGGAGTATTAACAGGATACTCTTGATAGGGAGGTCACCTCTGTAAGTGTGAAGTGTGGGCCGCTTCAAATGTAAACGCTTATGAATCCATTGTGTTGTCCATGGCCAAAACGGACACAACGATAGAACGGAATGGAGTTAAGACTTTATTGTGTAAATGTCATTGACTCGGTGTACACTACGGAGGAATAGTTCAAGGCATCATGTCCACTAGTCCGCCAGTGCATCCGATGATGTTTACAAAGAAAGGTTCAAAGCCAAAAGCTACCTTTTCTGATGCAATAGAGTTTTGTGAGGATTAAGCACATAGTATATTATATTTAATTTGCACTCATGTGGGGGATTGTTGTAATGTGAGTGCAAATTGGATCAAATAAACGAGTGTGGGGCCCATTAATTTTTTAATGATGTGCAAAGAGATAGGTTTGCCAAATTTGTCAAATTGTCAGGAGTCCCTGCAAAATTTGTTAGATATTATGTCATATGTCAGGTGTTATAAATGCTATTCTGACAAATGATATATTTATTGGTCCATTATGCCTATATATGAAGATGATCTTAGATCATTTGGAGTGACAGAAAAAAAAAAAAAAAAACCATACGAAGAGAAGAAGTGAAGCAAATCACACAGATATTAAGGAAAGGAAAAATAATATTTGAGGGATCAAAATATTACTGATATATTATTATTTTTATTTTAGTGCTCAATTCTCGATTCCGTTTCAGTTCGACGGAGCTCGTAAATCTGGTGTGCTACTGATTTAGAGACGTTTGCCGTTGTATCTTTGGGGAAGTTACGCCTGAACCGTTAGCAGACACACGGGGCGTATTCTTCTTGCGGAAAGAGTTTTACTCGTCTCGGCTAAAATCTTTCTTTCGTAGGATTCCCGTGTATTTTTATACCTATTTTTCTAGCATCTGTGAGGTCGGCCAATCCGGGCTTGTGTTGTTCGTTGATTGAGGTCGGCCGGGGCCGACGACTGAAGTCGGTTGGTCCTCTGTTGCTGTTTGGCGACTTTGGTCAGAAGTCGGTCGAGATCGGTTGGTGCCGATCTCGGAAATCGGTCGGGATTTTAGTCGGAAATCGGTCCGCCTCAATTAAGTCGGGCTTCTCGGAAATGATGTAGTCGGTTGCGAGGTGCCGAGGTCGGCTATGGTGGCTGTTGGGATCGGCTGTGGCGAATTGGAGATTCCCGACTACGATTTTGCACAGGTGAAGCCGGTTATGGCTCGGGGACGGAAAAAGCCGGCCACGGCTGTGATTTAGAAGGCTGGCCGTAGTGAGGTTGCACAGGTGCGTGGGAGTCCGACGGCTGAGGTCGGTATGATCCAGCTAAGTCGGCCCCAGTGGTCGCACTTTGGAAATCGGCTGCTGCTGAGGATAGTGTTATGAGGGCCCACAGAGGTGGTGGGGAAATTCGGCCCTTACTTGGCTCCGATCTTGAAGTCGAAGCAGTTGCTGTCACTTCGGAGGTCAGGCTCGGCGCCACAGAAGTCGGTCATTGGGTCACCGTCTGAAGTCGGTATTTTAAAGTTTAGGCTCGGCTATTTATGAAGTCGGAAGTGCCGAGGTCGGGTGTGGTGAATTGGTGATGTTGGTCTCGGTGGCTGCTCGGTGAAAGTGAAGTCGGTGCGGGCTCGCGTAGCCGGTCATCCGATCCCGAGCTGAGGTCGGTATTGAATATGTCGGCCTATCTTGGAAGTCAGGCCAACGTCGTGATGTAATCGGGCCTCGGGACGGCGAATTCGGCCAGAGATAAGAAGGTCAGGTCCGATCTGTTTCGGGGTCCCGCGAGGTCTGTTAATGCCACAAAGTTGGTTTGGAGATAACTGGGGTCGATGATGAGGTTGGTAATGAGATATTCAATTTTGGAGAGTCGCGACTGTGTTTGGATCTCGAGCTCAATTTGGGCCCCGACCATGTGAGGTCGGTTCAGTCTGTTGTGAGGGTGATAGCGACTCGGTCGGTTCCGACGGCTCGGGGATTGGAGACGATGATGTCAACCGACTTTGAATTCGGAGATTGCAGTAAAGGGAGGCTCTGACTTCATTTTTGGGATAACTGTGGAGACATCTGGCACCGATGGGTTGAGGTCGGTGATGGTAACATCGATCGCGGCTGTGACTGAAGTCGAGGAAGAAGATACAGATGACCGCAGATGTTTTCGGGCTTGGTTGCGTTTCGGGCCGCGCAAATCTGAGCTCATATGAAGGACGGGCTCGACCTGAATGGCGTAGAGTGTCTCGATCTGTATCCGGTTCATGTTGGGCTTGACTCGACCGAGGCGGATTCGGATGGTAAGTACATGTATGTATGAATCCGGAACACAAACTAATTTCATTTGTCAATCTGTGTTGGAGATTTTTGATTGTTTTAATGGATTTGGACACGCATATGCCGCAGGGTGTCGGACATAAGGGATTTTTTTGTGAAAGGATTTTTGGGAGCTCGTGTATATGATTTTGGATATTGGGATATTGTGGAGTGTTTTGAGATAATTTTCCCTCTCCGAAGGAAACTCCTCCCCTTTTTNAAGAGGAAAAGGGGTGACGATGGAGCTACGTGGCCTGTCTTGGTTCACGAGAAAGGAAAAACAAAGTAATAAAGGTGGCTTGTTTAAGGGGAAATAAAACTGCGCTTTTTCTCTGTTTCATTTCCAGAAAGAATTTATGCAGACTAAAACTCATAAGCATCTTCATCAGTTTATGAAAAATTGAGTACTAAATACTGAAAAATTGAAAAAATTATCTGAAAAATTGGAAAAATTATCACTCATCTTGCTCGACTTTGAGTGGTATTTTTGCAGTAGCGATGCCGCTGTTCTCGTGCGAAGATTAACCCGAATAAATTACGGGCCTTTCCTCTAGCGTCAAATTGTTGACGTAATCAACATGGGGTTCAGAATAGTGTTTGTATTTTCTGTGTATATATCGAATATTTGTATGAATTCCATGAAAATAAGGAATGAACATATATTTATTTCTTCTGAGTAAGCTTTTCTTAGAAATCAGGAAAGAGAAGTCTCCCTCTCGTTGCCTGCCTTTTTCTTTTTATATCCGAAAAGAGAAAAGGGAAATTTACATAAAGATGGTAGTTGAAAATCTTATTTGCATATAGACGAAATATATAAAGTATTATCATATGAGGCTTTTTACGAGATAACATTTACAATTATACGATCTCACTCTCATGTAGAATCCCTAAGATCTCGCCACTTTCTATTCCTCCTATAACAGATGCAATCAACACTTTTTAAAAACCATACCCGCAAGTTATCTTGGAAGGTATATTGTTAGTTTTGCATTTTTTCGTTTTCATACCAAAATCAGTCAACTATCTAGGATCAAAAATATTTTTTCCAAGATCATGCACGCTCGGCTTGTTGAAAAAAAATACATCCAATAAAAAAAAACTTATGTATACGATATATTTAAAATGAACTTGAAGGTAAATTATATTCATTTTTTTTTCTATGAGATGTATTCAAACAGTTTTGAATGTTTTTCCATGTAGGTAATATTTCTGTTTATATGTTTACGTGATTATATACGGAACATAAATATGAAATAAACAAAACAAAGCATCGAATATACGGAACATAAATATGAAATAAACAAAACAAAGCATCGATTCGTAATCTGTAACCAATCTCAATGAACATATTGGTATAGTCTTTTTTTAATGTATTTTTTATGGTGATCAAGTACGAGATTATGGGGTGTTTATACATTTTTTTTTTAATTTCGTAATCTGTTTATTTTTCAGGAACATGGCTGAAGACAATGTGTAACTTCGGAAATATATACTGTTATGTGTTTATACATTCAAAACTTCGGAAGATATACTGTATGTATACATCACATAAACATGATCTGACACAGTTCTCTAATATTAACCGTATAATTATACATAAGATAAACGACATATGAACAATACTAAAACGGGATAAAACATAATACACAATTCTGAATGACTGCAAAAATCCAAATCGAATATAGTTATACGTACGATAAACAACACATGTATACTTTACATGACATTTACAAAGTTCAACCAACAACTTTGCGCACTCCAAAAAACAGCACCATATAGATTGTGTATAATTAACGTATAATTTGTGTATATGTTTACTACACTTATTCGAACGGACGGATGGACGAACGACTCGACATTTAAAGTGCGGACATATGAATAGAAAGGGATATGTACCATTCTTTTCGCACAAATCTTTGAATACATTTTGTTTAGGATAATTACACACTAGATCCTTCTATTAGTTCTCAAATATCATGTTCCTGTTAGTTCTCAAATATCAAGTTCTCAAATGGTCTAAAGATTTTTTTTTTCTTTCTCGATGATGAAACTAAGGGGAGAGAGAAGATATATTTTCTTCTTCTTTATCTGTTGTAAATGGTCAAATATGAGATTAGAACGGTTACGGAAAATCTTGTTCCAATTGAACTCATTAATTGTGTTTGAGAGGAGTTATATTCCATAATTGAAAAACGTCCAAAAACCGTCTATTACAAATGGCAGGTTTTATTTAACAAATCGTATTTATAAAGAAAAATTTCAAAGTTCGTATTTTTACAAATATTGTTGAAAGAAATTGTAAGTAAAGTAAATTTCTCAAGAGAAAAAGTAAAAAAGCCCCTTTAAGCCCACTCGCACATACACTTTTTCGGGCTTTTACTTCTTATGGCTTTTAACGTCTAATGGGCCCTTATATGTTAGGCCTTTACAATATTTTACAAATGTAATAATTTAAATTTGACTGCGCAGGACCCAACAATAATAAATAAATAATGAAATAAATAAGATATTTGTCTTGTCGATAATTATTGTGTTTGTCGGGCGGCTCGTGGCGGTTTTTTATGATATCCGGGTTGGGCTGATGACGTTGAATTCTGATGGCTCGAATACGGACAATTTTGATTTTTTTGGGACTCATTTAATATTAATAAATTAGATAAAAAGAACCGCTATTTTATATTTTATATTTATTAATATATATCCACGTGTAATATTTTAATAGGCGTAGACAAAATTTGATGTCAAACAATACTAATATCTTACTTGTATAGGTAGATGCAAATATAGCATAGTATGAGGAATGGTGTTAATTGCAATTATTTACAAACTCAAATGAATTTACAGACTTGTCATTTCTTCGTTGATTTTTAACTAATTGAGGGTAGCATCGGATTCATGCTAAGGCCATATCCTCCAGAGCCACCTGGCTCGACATGCTTCACACGACCGAAATATCTTATATGCCGCAACAACCTTGCCAAAAACGTGTTGTGGCATATTGTCGAGCTATCACAAACAATTGCCACGTGTTTACGTGCTCTAGTAATTGCTACATTCATCCGTCTGCTATCTCCTAAAAACCCAACTGCTCCCAAGTTGTTTGACCGAACCTGAATAAAAAACAATGCTATTAATTTCTCCAAAACGCATAGAGTACAAAGATAGAAAAGCTTTACAATTGCAATGTTAATTGACCAGCATTACTTCCTGAATAAGAAAATGCATGCATGAGGATATCTGAATAACCAAAAATACTTAACTTCTGACAAAATGTCATTTCCTTAGGCAAGACTAACGTGATGACCTATTAATTTATAGCCATTAAAATCTATAACCACTGTAAATTTATTGAATCTTACCATTGATATAATAACAGCATCTGCTTCGCGCCCTTGAAAGCTATCGATAGTTGCAACTTCGACACCTGTGGAAAGAGGAGACTCTTCGAGCCTGTCCCTTAACAGTTGCACTTGAGCAACATACGGCGATTGCACAACAATCGTTGCTGGGCGAACACCTAGAAATATTACAGCTAGCAGTTATCATGGCGAAAATTTTGCAATTTCTCTACTGACAGTTACGACATTCTAGAAAGAGATGGACATTGATCAATGTGATGGCATGAAATCCAGAACAAAATAAGTTTCCTGCAACTCCTCATTTTTCCTATCATAATTATCTATGCTACATTTGGATTGAGGAATATATTGAGGGATTTGAAATCTATAGATTTTTAAATTTACAAGCTCAAATCTCCATGCATGTTTCCATGATAATAGAAGTTGGAGGATTTCAAATTCCCGCTAGATAGAGTTTAGTCATTATTTTGAAGAATTTTAAATGACTCTTCAAACCTAGTCATTTGAAATCCACGGTTATCCGCGAGTATGACTCTTCCTTTAGATTCACAACCACCGCGAGTCAATACCATCGATGATGCGAGCTAGACAATGGATTTATAATCCTTTCCACAAATTTATTCAAAGAGTTTGAAAGTAGAAAATTTGTATTTCAAAAAATTCGAAATGAAGGGATTTCAAATCCCTCCATCCAAACATAGCCTAATATCATTCTCCTGCTTTGTGTGTGTGTAGATAATCTATGAGGAGAATAACAAGCAAAGACAAAGATGGAATACAACTAAGATGACAGGAAATAATATCCAAGACTCATATATCCCAGCATATTCCCTAAATTTTGTAAGTGATCTCTTGGAATGGTGTACAACAGGATGTCTTTCTTAAGAAAAGTTCAACCACAAGATAATCACTCTGCCGTGCGAGCCTCGATGTAATATAAAGGTTGATGTGATTATACAGAGCAACAATATATCTTTTATCAAGTTTACTTAAAGCATGGTCAGATGCAAGACTTCTAGTTAGTTGGGTTTTCACATGATAACAAAGTTTTTACATTGAACTAGAGAAAAAGGTAGATGGGGATACCAGCATAAATCAAGGCGAAAACATGTTGTACCACGATATCTGCTTCACCTTCATTGTAGAAGGAGCCAGTGCCAGCTGGATCTAGTTGTTCCTCACAACCAATGGACAAACTTCCATACGGCATTCTTGTGTCGAGCAACAGCAATGGACATTGTGTGATCCATGTTGACTGCAATGAGTATATAATATTATTTGTTGTTTTCAGTACCTTAATAAGACAGAGATCAAAGTTGGGTCTAAGGAAGCCAATATGATGAAGACCGGTAATAACTTTCATCTAATCCTCCAAGAAAATGAAAATCTAATTGCAGTACCTGTCATATTGCTTCATTATCAAGATAATTAAATCCACGGAATGCAATATCCACATAGTATATTTAAGCCCAAAGAAGCTTTTCTGAATATAAATTATAGAAAAAATTCAATATTTGCCATAAAGAACAGTACCATGATCCATGGAGAATCGGATAGCAGATGAGACGCGACACTTGCAGAAGACTGCAGCAAGCCATTATACATCTCTTTCGACGCCCAGCTGGCAATTGCATCATTCATCCTGTACTGTTTCGTCAATTTTGTGGCGAAAACCCCTTTGTGCAAATCCGACACTCTTTCCATCAACGACACCGCTAACCCACCTTCCAATGCATTCCTCGACAGAATAACTGGCGCCAGCTGGCACTGGTCTCCAGCAAGCACACAACGTTTCCCGAGCAGTATTGGTATCCAGCAAGAGGGTTCAATAGCTTGACCAGCTTCGTCTATCACGACCAAGTCAAACGGTTTAAGCCATCTGATCAATGGATCAGCTGCACCAATATTAGTGGCGAGCACGACATTTGCACTCAAAAGAGTATCTCTCACAACTTCCCTCTCCTTTTTCTTCATCGTCTTTCCCAACTGTTTCAAAAGCTGACGAATGCCGGAAGCCAAAGAGTCGTCTCTCAAGCAAAGGCTCAAGTCCTTCCTCAGATCCGATTTCTTCCTCTCGAATTCTAACTTAAAATCCGAAAGACTGTTTTTCACAATCTCGGCAAGTGACTTGGATGCTACTGCAGGCGATATGCGTGCGGGATTACCGACCCTCACAATATTAGCATTAATGTCGGATAATTTCTCGACCATGTTATCCACAGCTGCATTAGTAGGTGCTGTGACAAGTACCCTTTCACCATGTTTAACAGCAGTTGAGATTAACTGCTTGAGCACACCTGTTTTTCCAGTTCCAGGTGGGCCTTCGATTATCAAAACCGGACGTTTCTTGTTTAAACCTAATGCAATTGCTCTTTGTTGGGAAATGTCGTAAGATTTGGTGTCCGTCAAACCATTCAGTTGAGACTCTGTCCAATCTACCATGTTATTGTCCTCCAACCACGAAATATCCTCATTGTCTCCGAAAATCGTGGTCACCACTGCTATCGAAGGATTGTTTTTCTGCAAGCCTTTCTTCTGAAGCATCATTAAAGCTTCACAATTACGCTGCGCAAAGAATTAGTAAATTTCAGGTGCTAAAATCTATTTTCAAGCTGTAACAGCAGCAACCTTAGTAAAAAGAGGAATTGCATTTAACACGATCTTACAATCATAAAAGAATTTTCCTTTTCCTACTACATTCCCCATGCACATATAAACATATCATAAAGGCACAAAAGAGAGAGCATCCACGTCAAATCTGGTTAAGTTTTAACTTTATATATTTATTACCTCATACGTGAGTGCATCAGCCAATCCTTGGATACGATCTATGCGTATATTCTTCCCAAAAAGCTTTGAAAATGTAGAATCCCCACGACGGGACTCGAGAGCAACAGTAATACTACAGCCATCATCACCCAAATTATTAACAAAACCTTGCATGCAAGAAGTTGCCCCAGCACCCCTGCTATCACATATTCTCACACAAACCATGTCCCCAGGAGAAAGGTTAATAGGTGGCAACCTATGCTTCCCCTCAGCCCTAAACAAGACCAGATGCATCCCCCCTAATCCTGCACACTCCATCAAAGGACAAAAAAGTCAAAAAAATATTGTAACCAAGAGTTACGCAAAAAGAGGTAGGAATTCGAAGAAGAGAATATGCCTGTGGATGTGCTGATGGCGTTAAGATTGCAAATGGTATCACAAAGCTCTTGTTCTGCCTGGGCATGGCTGACCAAGAACTCGGTGGGTTTTGGCGAGCTGGAGTGCTCGTCAGGCATTGGAACAGCATTCAGCTCTTCCTGAGTGAACTCCAACTCAGCATCTCTTTCTATGCGAAGAAGATCGGACATTTTCTTGGTGAAGTCGTCAATTCTGGTCTGAATGGCTTTGGCTTTCTCCAGCTTCAGTCCTAAGACACCGTAGTCTGACTTGGATACGCAAGTCTTCCTCGCAATAGCTCTATGCTGAGCTGAAATTGCAAAAATGTGTAAGAACAAATTCATCAGTTCAGAATCACCAATGGTTGTGTTGGATGTCCGAGATAACAGGGTTGCAAATCAAACCAAACTACTCAATAATTGGTTCGAGATTGTACGTTAAGTAGCTTGGTAGGAATTTATTAGTCAAATTTTCAAACATGCTACACATTTTTACGTTGGATGCAATTCAAAACTCAGTGATTTCGACCTTGATAAATGAAAGAATAAATTGATTTGCATCCGCAGTTCGATTTAACTCACTCATTTACACTACCAAGATAAGAGAGAGAGAGAGAGAGAGAGAGAGAGAGAGAGAGAGAGAGAGAACTTGAATTAGCCAGTTGTTTGAGCAGCTTCCACGACTGAGTTTCACGCCAGTCGCAAATAAGCCCTTTGTTTTCGAGGTCCTGCAAAACGTCTCTAAGCTCCCTCTGAAAGTGGTCGAAGAGTGTGGGATAATGAGTGCAGGTCTTGAGGCAGATAGCCTCCACTCCTGAAGGCATGGGAACAGCACTCAAGTAAGGCTGAGCTTGAATCACAAATGTGAGGCCGGGACCCATTCTCTCTTTCAACTCACTAAATTCTCCCTGTGCTTCTGCTGCTGCAAAATCCAATGCCATGGCTTTCATTCCTTGGGATACCCACTTCACCACAGTTTTCCCTAAATCCTTTCGTCCCAAAGGGTCCCCATTTTGATACATCTTTTTCTCATCACAAAATACTTGCTCCTGCTCCTGTTGTTGTTGTTTAGTTTCTTTTGATATAACGGCGGTATACTTATTGTACCCAACACTTTGTTCTATATTCTTTTGGCGGCTTCTTCTCATTCGGCTGCTGTTGCCTCGGCTATTTGAACTCGCCCAAATTCGATCTGAAAATGTGGAACTTAACAACACTCGACTAATTGGAAGGCCGTAGTTGCCCGGGGACTTTAATGTTGAGAAAATGCAAGACGTTTCCATCTTTTCACAACTTGGAAACGCTCTTCAGTATACACCACTCTACAAACCAACAACACCACTCTACAAAGAAAAGAAGATATGGGAAAATTAAGAAAAATTCTTAAACTACTCAGCCACATTCTATATTGTCCATTTATTGGTACTTGATCAGAAAAAAAAAAAATGAGGTTAACAGAGGAAATTGGGATGGGAAGACAATGGAAAAACAGAGAAGGGGTACACGCGCAACTTCCAATTTACGAATGAATTAGAGTTAAAAAATTAGATTGTTTGAGATAGATAAGTAACAACAAACTTGGACCATAAAAAGAGCAGCAGAGAAGGTTAGTATCTTCCTGATTACCTTAGTTGTGTGTTCGTTTGGCAGTAGAGTAGAGATTGTGGTGGTGCTGGAGCGCTGGCCACCGAGGAGGTGGACTTGAGCACCTCTGACTGATGCACGATTAATAGTTAATACATCTTTGCAATTTTGGTTCCATAAAGAGTTACGTTTGGGATTTTGGTTCCGTACAAAATTAGTATTAATGTTGTGGTTTTTATTCCATACAAGACCAATATTACAAATTTTATATGTGTTTATTAACTATTTATTATTATATTATATGGTGGTTGACGTTTTTCGATTTTCCGTTTATTTTCTATTATTTTCTTACAAATTTGGAAATTGGAAGGAGGACTATTTCACGATACTGGTTGGTTGGCAATGTGGAAAGAGGGAGAGGCCAATAGCTATTGGCTGTTGAGATATTATGCCCTGCGTCCGGTGGTTTACAGCCTTCCAAGTTTCCTCAAGTTGTGGTTCACGGACTTCCAAGTTTCACAATCGCTTCGCTCCAACATTTCTGACCAATAATTTTTCATATTTTTTTTTTGTCGTTTCGTAGTACCCATAGAATCGTAACAACATATCGCAGAATAAAATAAATTAAAACAGTGAAAAGTATACTACAGTAAAAGTATAAAAATAATTTTGAATATTATTATAAAAAATTAGTTTTGTATCGATTTACGGTTCTATTTTTGTAAGTGGAAGATAGAGAAAATTCTCAAAATCATTTTAAGGTGAATGAGAAATTAATTCTAAGTTGTATATGTGGAAAATGTAAAGTTGAAGCAATGAGTTTAAGTAACTCAAACTATTGGATTCGTAAAACATTATGTTTTGATAAATGTTTGGACAAATTAAATGAGCCATAATCATGCATTATGTATGCTAGAATTGTAAAATGGCTCGTTGGGGACGAGTAGGAAAAAACGGAACTTGATTCCGAGTCCGTGTGAGCTCGTACGAGCCCACGGCGCGCGGGCACGCAGCAGGCTGCGGAAATCGAAAGGTCACAACCTTTGGTGACTAGAAGGTGTCTTTTAGCCTCTAGATGCGTCCATTCTCATTTGGGTACGTCCCAAAAGGTGTCTATTGACACTTAAACCTCTTGGATGTGTTATCCTACATCTATAAATACTCATATACTTGATGTAGCGCCCCGTTCATTTATGGAATATTTGAGAATTTTAATTAATATTATTGCCATCATTATTATTATTGTTATAATTATTTTTATTTAAGTGCCTAATTGTCTAATAAATGCTTGATGTGTATTATTATTGTTAATAATTTGTGTAATATATTTATTATAATAGCCTATTTTTTTGTTTTAAAATATCGTGCGAACCGAGCCATTTTATATTGGCTAATCAACCGATTTATCGAGCCCGAGAAAACCGTATGCCTTTAATTGAACCTTCGGCCCACATTAGCCCGCAACCCGAGTTGGGCTCGGCCCGACAAATTTTTCTCCTTCTATTTTCACGCGTGCAACAGTGTGGAGACTTATTTTTTTTTGGACATCAAGACCTATTTCCTAAACCTAAGAGTATGTATATATATATGTTTGTCCATCTCGACTCTCATCCCAGAAATCCCATCGCAGCCTTTTCCTTTTCGCCCAAATCTCAGAAATTCGATCGTGATCTCATCATCACTCCATCATCATCGTCCTCTCACCACCAATATCGTCGCGTTCAAACTTTCTCAGTCCATCTCATCACCCTCGCTCGATTATCATCATCCTCATCACCGGCGGCCAGCAACCCGCACAGAAACTGTCGCAGCTTTCCGGTGACCCCGTTTCTTGAGTTTTTCCGGCGAGTCTGATCGACCACGAGCAGCTCACGAGCCCAGACGACGAGGACCTCCCTCTGTCGTGAGATTCCCGACGACCTACTCCTCCACCACGCCGCGACTGAAGATCTGCCGCACCGCGACGCCACCGCGGGAGCCCTTCCGCACCGCGACGCCTCACAGCACCTCCGTTCGAACGAACAGCGACCCCTCTGTTCGTGAGATTTTTCGGCGAGTGCGATCATCCTTCCAGCAGCAACTCCGGTGACCTTCCCGACAAGCTCGTGACCCAGCAGCAGCGACGCACTTTCTCCTCCCGTGCGACGAGCTCTCCTCTTTCGCGAGACGAACTTTTCGTCGAGCCCGTTCGAACCCTTCTCGCCCGATTCTCGAGAACGGTATCGAGTCCCGTCTTCCCGTTTATTTTACGTAATTATCGTTGTGTTATATGATGATATGTGAATTCGTATAAGTGATGTGATTATGTTTTCGATATATGTGTTCGATTAGAGAATATGTGAAAATCGTGAATTTATATGAAAGATATGATTTTATGTGTCGTTTATGTTGTTCGGGATCTCTTCAATTATGAGAAATTGAACGAGACCTCGAAAGTCGTGTAAGTCAGTGGATATTGGAACAAAGTCGAGTCCTTGGTCTTACGAGAAGGCCTCGGACGAGAAATTTCATGTTATGAATTAATTGCTAAGTTGTCGAGCATATATGTCGCTGTTTTGGTGTTTGAATTTTTAAAAATTCACACACTGCTCGTAATGACTTGAAATTTTGGGGAGTATGCTTTCTGTTCATTTCCAGACTCGTGTAAAAATTTCGTAATTTTTAGAGGCCTGTAGCTATTTTTAATAACTAAAGTGAATTCTGATCAGAAAATTGTTTAATGCTTAATAAATTGGTTCGTGATTCAAATGAGCTGAAATTTTGATATGTTGTGCCTCTGATGTGTTTATATGTTGTGGTAAATTTTTAAAATTTTTGGAGTAAATTTGATATGGTTAATGATTTTGTTTCGGTTTCTGCTGAAAGTTGTATGAATTATTAAAAATCGGTTCTTTATTGAAAAATTATGAAATTTTACTAAGATGCCTATTTTATGTGTAGAATCATGCTGTTAAAAGATGGGAATTTTTGGAATTCATTTTGTTACGGTTTTGATTTAAATTCGATAAACTGCTGAATCTCGTATGAATTTTTAAAAAGAGTAGCAGTCAATGTTAAGGGCTGAGATTTTTACACATTGACTTTAGCATGCTGTATGTTGTTGTGTTAAATTTGAAAGTCCTGATCCGTTCATTAAGTTCAAGTATGAATTGATGTTCCCATTATGTTGATATCTTGTTCGAATTTTATAAAATAGTGTTTTACGAGTTTGAAGCTGAAAAATTGTTATTTTACATGTTTCTGGGAGATGTAATTTTGTGTAAAATTTCAGAGCCTAAGTCGTAGGGTAGACTGGCCATCTATTTTCATTTAAAAAGTTGGGAATCGACTTGCTTTTCGTTTTGATGTGAGTTTGACTTGGTCAATCCTTAGATGGATTTATGTGAACTCCCTTATGTTGGTTGGTCGAGTTTAGTATCGAGTCTTAGTATTCCAACGTCCACAGGACTTCACGAACTACTTAGTCGAAACAAGTTCGACTAGGTCTGTTTTGTGTTTTCTGTTTAAAGTCAAGATAGATGTTGACTGTAGCATCTTGACTCAATGTAGGTAATTGAGGAGTCCAGCCTCGACCTACTTCCATTGCTTTGAGTTATTATCAATCCGGAATCCAGGTGGGTTGTTATTCAAAAATTATCTATGCATATGTTTGATTTTAATCATGTTGCAAATTTGGTGTGATCTATGTATGAAAATGAACATGTAGCCTATCGATGTGAGCTGTTACGGCCGTCGGTACGGTTGTCCCCGTCGAGTTACGATACGGTGCCCTTGTGTGGCAATCTCCTTTAAGTCCTGATATGGTCGTGCCTTTGTGAGGTACGTAAGCCCATATGGAAGGCCATGTCCGTTACAGTGGCACGTACTCCCGCCTTCGGGTAATGAATCCCCGTTCTGCGGCTAGCGATAGATGTGCACAGGAGTAAGGTTAAATGGTGTGATTTTGATTAGGAGATGAGACATGTTGTAATTATTGTTTATGTTCATGCTGCGACCATACCATTGTTATGTTATTCATATGCATAGTGTGAGTACGATATTTAACTGTACTCACTCCCACCTGCTCTTCACGGATGCAGGTTAAGCAGTTGGCGGGTGACGAGGCAAGACGAGTGGGTGGTCATGCTTTTGTTTAAGACTGATATTTACTTCCGCATTTATGAACTTGTTATGGTTTATTTGATTATGTTTGAACTAGTTTGATTTTGGATAAGAGTTGGACGGATTTGAATACTTGGGTTTTATGTTGTTATTTATTGTTATTTTGAATCTTGATAAATGTGTAGGTTCATTCTGATCTTCTTGTGTGTTGGATAAATTGCTCTTGGTAAAATAAGTAGCGCCCTTTTGAATTTTAAAATTAATCGAGATTTTGAAAAATTAACTCTGATTTTCATTAAATAAATTTGATAAATCTTTTAAAATTAAGTGGGGCGTACACTTGAAATCATTAATTACATGAAAATTAAAGAGTTCTTGCATTATATTTTCAAAGGTCATAAAGCATATTGTATTCTTTGATTTTTTCATTGAGTCTTCAGAGTTCCAAATAATAGTATTGTTCGCCGAAGGCTTGTATATTTAAAGTACCACTATGTACAAGTCGAAAGTCGTTGTATCTTGTAGGCGCTTGCCGTTAACGGGTGGGTATTTTACGGAGCAATTTCGTCTTAAGGAGAATGTAACTATTACGTGCCTCGACTCTGATTTTGTTTTTCGTTTTCTTTATTCTCCTTAAGCCATCTTCTTGATAATCACAAACCACATAATACTACAATCTTAAGACGAAATTTTTTTGTGAGTTCATAAGATGGCAACCGGAGGAAACCAAACGTCTTCTTCAAGTGATCAACCGACCGTTACACTGGTTACTAATCTATTGAGGGTAGTCACTCCCGTCTAAGGCGAGAGACCGTCAAAGTTCAATGGCTCTATTTTCAAGAGGTGACAACAAAGGATGTGTTACCACCTCACAAATGTCTCCCTCTCTAGTTTACTTTCAGAGGACTCTTTGATCGTCCCCGAAAGTGAGACTAACGTCTAAAAACGTATGGTCTTAGATGCTTGGCATCATAGTGATTTCTTGTGTAGAAATCTAATACTTAACGGACTAGACAACACACTATATATAGCTCGGTTAAGATGTCTAAGGAGTTGTGGAACTCTTTGGAAGCAACGTACAAAATGGAAGATAATGACACTAAAACTTTTATCGGTAAATTCCTTTAGTAGGATATGATTTACACAAAGTTAGTGGTTAATCAAGTTCAAGAGATTCAAATCCTTCATGATATAATGGCCGAGGGATTGATTGTGAATGTAGCCTTTCTAGTGGCAGCTATTGTTGAAAATTTGTCTCCTTTGTGGAACGACTTCAAGAGTTATCTCATGCATAAACTCAAAGAGATGAAACTC